TCTTTCTCTCAAGGAGCAGCTAGTGGGTTTAAACCACCAACGTTGTATTAGCAGTTCAATTCCAAACCCACAGCAACACTAGGACTCCTTTAAAAACACTGACGATGACGTGGAGAGATGGAGGCACAGATGACGACATGGAGAGATGGAGACAGACGATGGCACAGAGAGATGGAGGCAGAGACGATGATGCGGAGAGATGGAGGCACAGACGATGACATGGAGAGATGGAGACAGACGATGACATGGAGAGATGGAGGCAGAGACGATGATGTGGAGAGATGGAGGCACAGACGATGACGCGGAGAGATGGAGGCACAGACAATGACGTGGAGAGATGGAGACAGACAATGACGCGGAGAGATGGAGGCATAGACGATGACGTGGAGAGATGGAGACACAGATGATGACGTGGAGAGATGGAGACGGACGATGACGCGGAGAGATGGAGGCATAGACGATGACGTGGAGAGATGGAGGCAGAGACGATGATGTGGAGAGATGGAGGCAGAGATGATGACAGCAGAGATGGAGACAGAGATGATGACATGGAGAGATGGAGGCAGAGACAATGACGTGGAGAGATGGAGCAGCTGGGGACTCTACACCCAGAGAGGGGATTGTAACCATGGCAATGAAACGATATATGATAGGACGAATGTAAAGCTAATATTCTCGCATGTAAACTATCATATAATTCACAATAAAACATTAAAAAAACACAAAAAACCCACTGTTCTTGTTGTTAGATGCCGTCCAGTTGGTTCCAACTTAAACTTTCATCATTGTTGTTAAGTGTCATTGGTTTGGTTCTGACTCATAGCGACCCTGTTAGGGTTTCTGGTGGGTTTGAACTGCCGACTGTTACTGTACACCTACGAATCCTTACTAAGCACCTGTTGTGTGTGTCTTCTACAATATTGCTGCTCTATTAGATGCTGATGTTTGTTTTGAGAGTGTGATTTCTGTCGATCCTGGGCTTTGGTTCCTAACATCAGCTGATAATGCAACTGGGACATCTCACACTGAATCTCACCAGCAAGTGGATTTATGTCATCTCTAAAGAGAAGGGCATCCTGCTTGGTAAAGTGGAGGGTCAGCAAAAAAGAGGAAGACCCCCAAGGCGATGAAGTGCCACAGTGGCAGAAGCAATGGCTCAGATCTAACAATAACTGAAAGATGGCACAGAGCCAGGCAGCGTCTTGTGCTGTTTTACACGGGTCATTATAAGTCAGAACCGACTCAACGGTACCTCACAAAAATAAAAGAGGGGCTTGGCAGTGGGGAAAAGAAGGGGATGAGCAGCTGATAATAAGAGAAAGCACATGGCCTGTGGGTTCTTCTAATCACCCTAACTTTCCCAGGGCAAACAGCATGTGGAAAGTACCATGCTTACAAATGGCTAAGAAGCAGAGGGATGTCCGAAGGCAAAATGGGGCCCATTTTGTGAGTAAATCCTACCAATGTGAGTGATTTCTCCCCTCATGGTAAATTCTGCTGAAAAGGGGGGTGCGGGGAATACCTGCTTAAGGAGGTGTTTAAATACTTCTGAGAGGACCGCCTACACAGGAGATCTGAGGCTTCATTGGAAACTAGGAAAATAGAACGTTCTTCGATGGAACTACAAGTAAAACAGGACCGCAGGGCTCCGGAGAAGGCAGTCAGCTCATATATGGAGAATGTATAGTCTTTGTCATAGTATAGACCATCCCATCGTACCTTTACAGGTACCTTCAGGCCCATTTTACAGGTAAAAACACTGAGGCTTTATTCTTTGTTGTAGTATAGGCCATCCCATCATAGCTTTACAGGTACCTTCAGGCCCATTTTACAGATAAAAACACTGAGGCTTTATTCTTTGTTGTAGTATAGGCCATCCCATCATAGCTTTACAGGTACCTTCAGGCCCATTTTTACAGATAAAAAGACTGAGGCTTTGGAACTCATTGCCATGGGAACCCAAAGAAGGGGCATGTCAAATAGAAAGTCTGGTTTTAAAAATACTCTCTTATGAGAGGGGCACTAATGTTCTCATGAGACAGAGTGAGGCAGGGAAAGAGAGGAACTCCTCCTTGTGTTACAAATGCATAGGAGGTGCCCTCAGCCAGTGCTGATGGGAAGAGAAAATGGTACTGCGGCAGTGGCAATCCGTTTAGAGGCTCCTTAAAACACTGAGCACAGAATTACCACATGGACTGCCCACCCCAATTCTAAGTCTATACTCAGTAGAAGTGAAGACAGGAATGCAAACAGAAAGCTGTACGCCAGTGGTCATCACAGCATGACAAGAGCCGAAAGGTGGAATCAATCAAAATGGCCGACCGATAAATGGATAAACACAATGTGGTCTGTCCATACAACTAAACATTACTCAGCCATATATGAAGTCATGACACACGCCATGCCACTCAGCCATAAACGAAGTCATGATGCACGCTACACCATGGATGTACCGTGCAAACATCATGTGAGCAAATTAAGAACAAATACTGTGTGTTCTTATGTATATGAGACAAACAAATACATTGAAATCCAAGAGTCTTATACATCAAACCAGGGGTGGGACGGCGGGCAGTAAGTTTTGACTTAAAAAGTAATGCGAAGGGCGGTGGAATGATTTGGAACAGGACAGTGACAATGGCTGCACATTGAGAATGAACAAGTGCCACTGGATGCTACCATACATGTAGAAGTATGTAGAAGTTGTTGAATTCGAGAATGTTTTGTTGTGTGTGTTTCCACCACCATTAAAACAAATGGGCCTGGAGAACAAGCAAGTGCATAGAAAAGAAAGTTTAGAGCAGGCACTTGAGAAAGAATTTGGTTTTCATGGATGTTATCCTGGCCAAATGGTTTTTCACCAAGAACTCTCAACCCTACCTTCACAATGGAATCACCTAGAGGGTTCTGAAAGCATGCATGTGCCTGGACCTCATCCAAGACCAATTCAATCCCAATCTTCAGGATCTTCTAACTACTCTCCAGGTAATCCAGGACTGACCACCATTGGTTTAGGGAGGTCTGAGATTAGTGCAGCCCACCGGAAACCACAAATCCCCCAGTGACTTGCTGGGGCCGCTCTGTCCATCCAGAACAACACAACTGAGTAGACAATCCAGTAGCCGGGGTCATTACTCCCTGCTCTACAAGGGAAAATGAACTGGATGTGAGCTGAGTGGTCTAGACTCTGCAGTGACCAAAACAAGACTTCCAGTCACAGCTTTGTTGCTCACCAGCTGTCTGATCTGGGATGAGTTAAATTAGCCTCTTTGAGTCTCAGCTCTCCAATCTGAAACCTGGAATAATAATTGTGCCTTCTTCTTTTGCTGCTGTGAGAAAATAAGATGACTGTATTTTTACACAACTAAGGATCTCTGGTAGCGTAGTGGTTATGAATCGGGCTGCGAACCTCAAGGTCAGCAGTTCGAAACTACCAGCTGTTCCATGGGAGAAAGATGAGGCTTTCTGCTCCCATAAAGATTTACAGCTTCGGAAACCCTGTACAGGGTCGCTATGAGTCAGAACCGACTCCACGGCACATAACAACAACAATGTTGTATCTTGCTCACCATGCCTTCCCCAGGTCATGTATTTTCACAGGTGCTACACTAATGAATGTTTACAAATAACATGTAAAAACATGAGCATAGTACTTATGAAAATATCACACAGGAGGAGGGTGTGGTTAGCAAAATAAAACAATAGCAACATGCTTATTTGTGTGAAAATACAATAGTCTCTCCCACTTTGTAAAACCTGGATTACCAGAAGCTCCAGGCAGCCCTGCCCGGTAAATGTTTAAATCCTGAAGAGCAGCAGCTTCCTGGAATAGAATGAGCATGGTGTACTGTTTGCTCAGAACTGTGAGGGGCTAGGAGTAAAAGCTAGTGGGTCTAGGTTCTCCCTGAAGATTCATGAGGACAGAGAGAAGACGAAAAAGAAGTCAGGCCGTCCCCAGAGCCAAATGAGCACCCAGGTCCTCAACAGAAAACAGCTTTCACATGTGCCTCTCACCCATCCACTCCACCCCTCACACACCAATGGCAGGACTCGATTAGGATCCGAGAAAGTAGATGAGGGGCTTCGGTCATTAGTAATCTGGGCCCAGGCAGAGAGAGGGAGAGAGACTGAGATAGAGAGAGAAGAAAAAAGAGAGAGAGAAACAGAGAGAGGCAGACAATAGTGAACGAAGGAGAGATACAGAGAAAGACGGGAGAAAAAAAAAGGCAGAGAAAGACAAAAGAAAGGAGACAGAGAAGAGGGAGTGTGGAAGAGAAAGAGGAAATGAGGTGAAACAGAGAAAGGAAAAGGAAAAAGGTTGGAAAGACAGCTGACGCAGAAGAAAAGGGAAAAGGAGAATGTGGATGCATTTAGGAGCTCTTACCGACTGCCTTTAAGGAGGCGTACTTGTTGAGTTCTTTGCCCGGCGGCTGCTGTTCATAAGGATTGGAGATCTGGCCCAGGTTTGGGTAGGAATGCGGATGGCCCATCTGCTGGAGCAGAGGAGAGGTGGGTACAACGTTGTTCATCTGGGTCGTGTCTGGAAATGAAGAGGCAGAAGGAGATGGTCACACCCAGGGCAGACCCTCCTACCCACACATACCACCCCTATACCTCTCAAGACCAGAAATCTCCCCACCCTTTCAGGACAAGAGTAGGACAGTGCGGGGTACGCAGGTACATCACCTGGTCTGGAGATCAATCAAGGATGAACTGGGTGTTCTTACAGTGTGACCTCAAAGGACAAAGGATGTGCCAGAGCTTCTGCACCTCCCCCCTAATTTAACACAGCCAAGTTCCATCATCAAAACAATAGACAAATAAAACGATGTTCAGCCTTAGCAAAAGTCAAGGAAATCCAAGTAAGCTCAATGAACAAGAAGCCAGTGCTGTGCAGAAACTGGTAAACACGAGAAGAGGTGAAGGGACCAGTACTGGGAAGAAGTTTGGAGATGACTTCTGTGAAATTCAGGTTACACAGATGACACACACAGGGAGAAAAAAAGGAACCCCTTAGTATTGATACACCAGGTCTCATAATTCCTTGGTTCAGGGCTCCAGAAGGGAGATAGGAATTCCTTAGTACTTCAGTACTCCCAGCTTGTCCCACTCCTGGGCTGAGTGGGCTCGCATGAACAGGCTGACCCTCAGTCGATGAAATGGAATCTCAGGTACTAAAATAATCAAGACTCAAATGCTATAGTCACTGAGCCCTCTGGCCATTGGGGTGAGCATGTGACCTAAGTCAGGCCAATCACAATGCCTCCTTCTCATTACTGTGATTGGGCCAGAGGTGAGCACATGATTTAGGTTAGACCAATTAAGTTCTTCCATGATCTTTTCTATTTGGAACCTTGGGGGTTACAAAGCTGGAAGATCATCAAGTCAAGTGAGTTTGAAATACTATATGGAGAAAGGCTTTCTTCGCAGTGACAGAATAAGAACCCCATGAGAGTTCTGACTAGAACAGGGGTGGGAAACCTTTTTGCTGCCAAAATTTATGCAATCATTCATGGGTCATATGAAATTATTAACTTAAAGAGTATCTGTCAAACATTGAATTCACTCATCCCTAATGTGATGGCAGGAACTGTGGTTGCCTTGGCAGAGCCAGACCAAATGGTTCTGCCGACCTTATATGGTCCTCAGGTTAGATGTTTCCTGGATTAGAGCAAGGGTTGTTGGAATTTCCTCTTGGAAAGTGATACCTGACCAGAAGGGAAGATCCCCAGAGGGCTATGGTGAGGAAGGTAAGATCTGAGGATTGCATCAAGATGGGAAAAGATATTTCCCTTAAGTTTTCTAGAGAGCTTCTGTAGAAATTTCAGGAACCCTGGTGTTACAGTTGTTAAAGCACTGGCTACTCTGCAGAGAAAGACAAAGCGTCTGCTTCCATAAAGATTTGCCACCTTGGGAATCCTACTGGGCAGTTTTGCTCTATCTTAAAGGGTTGCTTAGAGTTGGAATAGATTCAAAGCAACAGGTTTTGTCAATAGACATTTCAGACTGCAAATAGGCTTAGGAGTACACAGGAAATGCCCAAGAGCATCCATAAACTAACTAACTAATGTCGTAATGGCAGAATTTTTTCCCTTTTCTGGAAATACAGTCCAAACATAAGCCTGCCTAGTTAAATGGCTGACCTCGCTCAAGACTATCATACAGTCCCAGTATTGTATTCCAACTCTATCCTCCCCAACCCCAGACCCCACTCATGCCAATCTTGTCAAAATTTAATTTAAAGAAATGAAAATTGAAAAAAAATAATAAGTCTGTAGAAATTTCCCTCGCCACTTGAGACAGCTTTTATATTACCAAACAGAACACTTAATGCTCCATTATAAAGTGTTGGCTTTGGGATTATTTCTCTCAAACCCTAAGCAACCTTAAGGGCATGGACTAGTTATTTCATTCAAGACTAGCTACTTGATTTGGTGGGACCATGACCAAAAGGTCCTCCCCAAAGTAATCCCTCACCAGAAAAAAAGAGAGACAGACAGAGAAAGAAAGAAGAGAGTGTCCCCAAATCATGTTCCTGCTTTCACATTCAGAACCACAGGGAGCAAATTTCTGGCAGTTTGAAAAAGCCATTGTGTCCCAGCTTCCAAGTGCTGAACATTCAGAAATATTGAAACCCTGTCTCATGGCAGCCATCAAGAATGATTAAACAGTCATTTGCAACAGGACTTTTCAATGTTATTTTCATTGTATTACACAGGAATCTGGATTGGACCCGGCAACTTGGTTGCCCTGTGATTTCTTCTTTTCCTCACGAAGCTACGCCGGAGTCCTGGTGTGGCACTGCAGGGGAAAGCACTGGGCCTCAAGGTCAACTTGAACTTCCAGGTCGGCAGTTCTAACCCACCAGGCACTCCTCAAAAACCCTATACAGGATCACCATGAATCAGAACCAACTTGACAGTACTTTCAGTTAGTTGTTGTTGTTGTTAAGTGCCATTGACTCGGTTCTGACCCATAGTGACCCTGTACAGGGTTTCTCAGGAACAGCTGGTGAACTTCAACCACCAACCTTGTGGTTTAAATCAACTTTGCCGTCCAAGGCATTAATCCACAGTACCGTACCAAGACTCCATAGGGTTTCCAAGGAGCAGCTGGTAAGCTAGTACTGCCGACCCTGCAGTTCAAACTGACTTTGCAGTCCAGTGAATTAATCCACAGAGCTGCACCTGCTTAACCCACAGCGACACTGGGGATCCTCCCCTAGTAAAGTACTCCTTAAACACAACAACAAAACAACAGTTGCCGTGAGTCAATTCCCACTCATGATGACCCCATGTGTATCGGAGTAGAACTCCTCCCTGGGGTTTTCAATGGATGTGTTATTTCAGAAGTTGATCGCCAGGCCTTTCTTCCAAGGTGCCTCTGGGTGAGCACTCGGGGCAGCCGAGTCAGTTAAGAACTGAAGTACCATGATCCACTCGATAGACACCCTAGCTGGCAAACTTCAGAGATACCAACCAGATGAAAGCAGGGGTCCCGCCATGGAACCCGGGCTCTGGGGCAAGGGGCTTCATATGAAAGGGTGAGGTCAATTTCCTTTCACTACATTCAAGTCCACTTTCCCTCCAGAACAGCCAGTTAGCACAAGCCTGCTCAGACCAAAGTCACGGAAACAGGCCACACAGAAAAGCATATTAAGCAGCTCTTTTTTTTAAATTACCCCATTTAACAGATAAGGAAACCAAAGATCAGAGAGGTTGATGGCTTGCCCAAAAGTAACACAGCATTTTGGTAACAGAATTAGGATTTGATCCTGGGTTTGCTTACTGGCAAGACTGGTATTTGGATTTAGCTAGGAGTCCTGGTATGGCACTGTGGGTTAAAGATCTGGACTACAATGTCAGTTTGAACTGCAAGGTCAGCGGTTCAAGCCCATCAGCTGCTCCTCGGAAACCCTATATAGGGCCACTACGGGTCAGAACCAACTCGTCAGCACTTAACAACAACAAACAACAGACTGCTCATTGGCTGGGCCAGGAAGAAGGTACTGGAGGCCAGACAAGAGTATTGTTTGTATAGAACAAAACCTCTACCTTGATTATCTTCTTACTTCCTGTAACATGTCCCATTCAGGTGAGGAAACCAGAATACATCTAAGACTTTATTTCCTCGGATCATTTATAGCTTACTGTTCTATCCAGGGAACAAGTGGTCCTCTCCCTTCCTGTGGAACCCACCTGCTCTCTGACCTCCACCACTTGGCTCGTCCATCCATCCTTCCTCACATAGTTGAGCGCCTACTGTATACCAGGCATTATGCTTGGCTTGCAAGTCCAAGTTCTTACACCACTTACTAACTAGGTGTTGCTGTTTTTGTTAGGTGCTGTTGAGTCAGTTCCAACCCATAGAGACCTTATGTACAAAAGAACGAAACAACTCATAAAACATCTCCACAGCTCTTTCAACACTCAAGAGGAACCAAGGTTTTGCCTGGTCCCTGAGACCACACTGGTTCTGTCCATGGTATTTGCTCATCAACACTCTCCACAACACACTCTTTGTGTTGCGTGATGCAGCCTCAACAACTTCTCTCTCTCTGCAGACAGCACCATCCAAGATAACATAATGTGTGAAATAAGACAGGAACATTGAGTCCGTTCTGGATTCAAGTTCTTCCATTTGCCAACTATTGTGGGGGGCGGGGGTGGGTGAGGCGCTAAGACTCAACAGCAAATAACAACATGTAGACACTTTCTGAACACTGGTCTTCTCAGGTCATGAGCTGCCTTGGTGCTTAAAGATGACACGGCTTTATCTTCACCCTTGAAGTATAGTGAGCAGATGATACTTGGTAGCTAAAATTTTCTTGTCCCCCATTGTCTGGTTCAATGGTGCTGTGGGCTAATGTGCTGGACTGCAAAGTTGGTTTGAAATGCAAGGTCAGTGGTTCAAGCTCACCAGCTGCTCCTCGGAAACCCTATACAGAGTTGCTATGGGTTGGAACTGGCTTGACAGCACTTCACAACAACAAATTGTCCTGGAATACCAAGTCAGCATGAAGAGATGACCGTGAAAACCAGAGGACGTCGGATTTCCATAAGGCCCTCTCTAGGTTTACAATCCCTGGATATATTCCAGATTCTTCTATTGCCTTAAAAACTGAACCAATGAGAGGAAATGGGGAGAGTGTGCGCCTGCAGGGGCCGATCACCTTGGTAATTCTCATGACAAAAAAAAGATATGAGATTCTCAGAAATCATAAAAGCGCTCTGGCTTTTAGCTCTGTTTTCCTTTTCCACCCCTTTGCTAGCCCAGCATCTTTTTGCAGGAAGCACCTGAAAATGATAGTTTAAAAAAACATGTAGATATTTCTCTGGCCAAGAGCAAGGTAAAAAAAAATTAAGTACAACCAGACAATTATCCTGAAATTACACATGAAAATTGTTGAGTTGACAAATAGTGTTTTAGATGTATATATTTTGTATATGTACATATTTTCTTTCTCTCTCTTTATTAAAACAAAGAGAGAGAAAGAAAAATTACCCTGAATTTGTCAAAGCAGGGTAAGCTCCCTCCAGA